GGGGGGGGGGGGGGGCGGAGAAAGAAAGAAAGAAAAGTTTGTCGTCCAGTTGGGCCGGGGTGATGGGTCATCAGGTAAAGGCTCTTGCTGCCAAACCCGAACCTGAATTCCATCCCCGAGACCCACGTGGTAGAAGGAGAGAACTGACTCAACATACCTGTGCTCTGCCCTCCAAGATGCATGCCATGGCATGTGTACACCCCCTCCAACATGGTGGGGGTGCGGCGGGGTGGGGGTACGGTGGGGTGGGATGCAGTGTGGTGGGGTGAGGTGGGGGTTCGGTAGGGTGGGGTGGGGGTGGGGTGCGGTGGGGGTGCAGTGGGGTGGGGTGGGGGTGTTAATGGAATAAGTAGCGCTGGCTTCTTAGTAATCGGCTTTCTCTTGGCTCAGAACCATCACCCACTGGAAAAGAAATGTGGGGCTAATTTTAGAATCACCATCACTTGTTAATAAAGAGATGGAGAAGGACAAACTGTTAGCAGAAGCTGACACATGCCAAGCAGGGCTGGCCATCCAGAAGTTCCAGCTTCACGGGATACCCCTTAGTATACTTTGTTTGACCAACGCTTTTTTTTCCCCTGGGCAGAGCAAATAACTCAGTGTCCTGACCACTTAGCATCTAGTCTCTGAAAGTTTGTCCTTGTCCCCTGAAAGATGTGGACCAGTTCATCACTTTGCTCTTTCATTGAAACACACAAGACAGTCCCACTTACTTGCTGGACTTCGGCTACTGTGTATGTGGCAATGTAGTCTGCAATTTTACCAAAGTGAAATTCCTTAAAGTGCTATGCACTGCTTTTCATGTTATAATACTATTTTTCTTTAATTGTGTACTTATTTATAATATCCATGCATCAGGAGATCATACTCTATAGTTTTCATGGTATTTATATCTTCATTAAAAGATTTAGTAGCTTTTATTTTATGTCTATATGTGAGTGCCTGCATGTATGTATATGTACCACATGCGTGCCTGGTACACACAGGGGCCAGAGGAAAGTGTGGGATCCCTTGGAACTGAAACTACATGTGGGTGCCCGGAACTAAACCTGGGTCATCTCTGGTAGAAGAGCCAGTGCTCTTAACTGCTGAGCCGTCTCTCCAGCCCTTTTTATTTGTCTGTCTGTTTGGGGTTTTGGTTTTTTGAGACAGGGTTTTTCAGAGTAGCCCTGGCAGTCCTAGAATTCACTCTGTAGCCCAGGCTGGCCTTGAGCTCACAGGGATCACCTGCCCCTGCCTCCTGAGTGCTGAGATTAAAGGCATGAGCTAACACCACCCGTCTCCAACCTTTATTTTATGTCTTATACTGTGTTAAAGCACTTAAATATATTTATAAAATGTTAGATTTATGCTGATTGTAATGTTATGACTAGCCTAGGCCAGGTTTAACTTTTTTTCCATAAGGCTTATTAAATCTGTCACATCTCATAGAATACAAAAATAGCTTGAGGTCTTCAGTGACTTTGTTTTGAGCCGGACCACGGAAATCAGAGAATGTAATGGTGGTTTAAATAGCTGCATCAAAAGGAAGGATGTAATTAGCATTTAACACGAGGAAACCGTCGGTCACTTTAGTCCTCTTTAAGGGCATTAGGCAATAGATGTGGATTTTAAAACACTTGGAAAGGAAAAGGATCAAGGAGGTACCAATAAGTAAGTTAAAGAGAAGGCCTCATTTCATCATAGTAGATCTGTCACAGAAGACCATGTCACCCGTGGAAAGTAAGGCAGAGGCAGAGAGGAGAAAGCAAAGCTGGAGTCTCTGGTCGCCTCGCCTGTGATTTGAGATGGACACGGAGCCTGTGTGAGCTGTCTCCCAGGTGGCATTAGCTGATGATAGGTGTTGTTGGCCACTGCAGAGTAGCAGACTTTCCTAATTAAAATGAAGCGGGTACTTTTAATTTACAGGGTTGGTTACCTGCTTCATTTTAGGAAATTTTGCAGTTTAAAAAATATCATGACCCTTCATAACAGTCTTGGATGTTTCTATTTTCAGAGATACCCTGCAGTTTTAAAGGGGGAGGGAGGAACTGGAGAGTACTTTAGATGCTGCTGGGTCCACTTTAAATGCTTACTATGTTTCTGTTCCCATGCACCATGTTAAGAAACCTACACCCATGCTGAGCATCAGGCTTCAGGAAAAGTTAAGACAAAGTAGAGAAGTGGATCATACAGCAGAATCGAGTGTGAGCAACTGGCATAAATAGGTTTCCTTTCCCCTCCTGAGAAATAGAGTTGTTTTTGTGTTTGGCTAGCCACATAGGAAGGAATTATGACCGAGAACACATTATTTAACCTACAAACTCCATGTCATCCTACAGAGCAGAGTGGCCGAAAGAACAGTTCATCCCGCCTTACGTTCCAAGGTTCCGCAATGGTTGGGAGCCCCCGATGCTGAACTTCCTGGGCGCTCCCACGGAGCAGGACATGTACCAGCTGGCCGAGTCCGTGGCTAATGCAGCAGAGCACCAGCGCAAACAGGACAGCAAGCGACTGTCCACAGAGGTCAGGAGCCCCCGCGTTTGATTTCTGCGGATGGTGTGGTGGTCACGGGGATCATCACTCACTGAAGACTGTTCTAGAACCAGCGACTAAATGTCACCCTCTCCTGCGCTGCTCTGAGTTCCCTCAGCTCTGCTTGTGTTTATGATGGTCACTAGGTCCTTCTCTTCCCCTGCCCCAGCTGACTCACTCTGCCTCTTTCTCTTCCTCAGTAGGTCCTCTTTGTCCCTTTTCTCTGTCGGGAGCTTGCCCTCAAGCACTGTCTGTTGGGTTTCCCTTTCCCATCTTTAGACCCTCAAGGCAGTTCCCTGAACCTAGATCCTGTGGATTCTAATCAACTTTCACAAATACCATACATAATTCCTCCCTCCTCCCTTCCTTCTCTTCCTCTTTTCCTCCTTCTCTTCCTGTCACCACCCCCACCCTCGCCCCCACCCCTGCCCCCACCCCCACCCTTCCCTATTGCTCTTCTCTCTGCTTCTGAGCTGCCTTCTCTCCCTGATACTGTGACTGCCCTCCAGTTCCCTCCCCCCCCCCCCAGCCCCCCCTAGCTCCCTCCAGCTCCCCCCAGTTCCCCCAGTTCCCCCAGTTCCCCCAGCTCCCTCCAGCTCCCTCCAGCTCCCCCCAGCTCCTCCCAGCTCCCTCCAGCTCCCTCCAGCTCCCTCCAGCTCCCCCCAGCTCCTCCCAGCTCCCTCCAGCTCCCTTCAGCTCCCTCCAGCTCCCCCCAGCTCCCCCCAGCTCCCTCCAGCTCCCTCCTGTACTAATCTTTGGAAGAATGTAGACCAGCAAGGTTTATGTGGACTTTAGTTCTCTGACAAATGACCACAACAATGTTGCATCTGCAGAAGATCATACCATATATTTCATCTTTCAATTATTGATTAAGCTTTAGAATATAACCCTGGGAGCAAATGAGAGGACTGAAATTGGGTATATAGTATGATGTTCTTGAAAAATGACTTTTCTGGGACCGTTTTTCTTTTTTTTTTTTCCCCTATTGGAAAGTATTTAAAGCTGAACCAAGTACAAATGGGATGCTCAGAACCCGTGTAACCACGTGGGTAAGGACTAACATAAAAAAGCAGCAGTGAGTGGCAGCTACATACTCCTGAAGTCCAAGTCATTCCTGTAAAATTTTTTTAATGAGTGAGTTTGTAATTTGGCAAACACTATATGAGGAAAGGCATTAGCAAATCACAGTATTTCTGACCACTTTTAAGAAGAAACATTCATATAAATTAAATTCCTTAAAATTGTCCCCTTGGACAAAATTGTTCTGTGGACAGTGATGTTATATAGGGATTTTGCCGTGCTCAGTGGGCTGGAGAGATGACCAGCAGGTACAGAGCCTCTGTGCAGGCAGGAGGACCTGTCCCAGCTCCAGTCACCCACCCCTCGTGATCAAGTCAGGTGTGATGTGTACCTGGAATCCTAGAGGTGGAGAGGCAGAGACAGGACGATCCCTGGGGCTGGCTGACTGGCTAGTCTTACTCCATTGGTGAACTTCTGTTTTAGTAGGTGACCCTGACTCAAAAATATAAGGTGGGAGCAATATAAGAAGCCATTGATGTCACCTTCAGCGTCACATGTGTGTACACACAACACATACCCTCAACACACACAAATTTTTTTCTAAAAGGCAATCTGTTACAATCCAGAATTTTTAAAACTAAAGCTAATACGTCTTTGAAGTCCTCTTTCTGTGCATGTGACTGCTTTCCCTCTGGCTGTGTGGAAAGGAAGGCTAGACTTCATACCTGGCCTTTCATCTAAATGCCTGATGATGGTGACATCATTCTCTGGTCACTGACTGAGCAGCACATGTCCCTGCCTGAGTTTGATAGTTCATACCTCATGACTGAATTTTTCTTCCATTTGGAAAGCAGCTGTGTGTGTGTTGAGGGGCGGGGGGCGGGGGTGTGTGTGGAATACAAGCATACAGGAAATGGTAATTCATTTGGTGTTGCCATAGTTACAGCTGTTTTTGAGTCACAGAAATGTCCAGCTTGTGGTGTTCTTATCTTACACAAGAAAATACGCCACTTAATCATGTGTGCCTTGGGAAGTCACACCGTTATGAGCCCTTTCACAGTTCCTGTGTTTAAGGAGGGAACAGCAAGTGTGTTCTAGGCTGTGACTGTATACGCCTGTCTACTCTCAACCCGTAATTTTAAAAGAGGAGTTATTGAGGATCCTTCCTGCTCATGACTGTCATCTTCCTGCTGTAAAATATTTTCCATTTTATGATTTAAGTGGCTATGCAGAGGCTTAAGAAGATGAAGTGAGGGATGCCTGCTAGGTTGAGATTTTGGGGGGTCGGGGAAGTGCAGGTGATGGCAACTTAAAGTGCATGCAAAGTGTGATCTTGCTAGGAGAGATTTTATTATATTTTATTGCTGCTATGATAAATGCACTTACGGCAAGTCTTGAGCAGTTCAGGATCAGGTGATTCTGTTTAGAATTGAGCAGCATGGATGACATCAAGTGATGAGGGTGGGTAACACTATCAGCTTCGCTGCTTCCTGCGAACTCTCAGCAGCCACAGCCAGGCTCTGTAGTTACCACATCCTCGCTTGCCCCCACCTCCTCCATCTTGGCATGCCCAGTCACTCTCAGCACCTGTGACTTCCTGCTGGCCAGGAACTGCCCTGCCCAGGAAATGGGCAAAAGGTGGGGATGACTCTAGCAGTTCCTGGCCCCAGGTGTTCAAGCCTCTGACTCTTTAATTGAATTCCACATCTCTGCTGGTTCTTGGGGAAATGATTAGTGGAGTTGACTAGTCCCAGGAGTTTAAATGGCTGGAAAGTATCTCCTTGTGTATTTGTTTGTGAGGATCTGCTCCCCGATCTATATTCCAGGTGGATATGTGACTGTGGTTTTTAGCATCCACACTGGTCCACTGGAGACGTTGCCTGTGGATGAACTCAGCTTGTCCTCATCAGCCTTTTTGTTAGAATTGACTCTTGTGACTCTCCAGCCGCAGTGAACCCCAAATCATGCAAACTCCAGGGTGCCCATCTGCTTCAGCATCCAGTACACTCTCCCCCATTTCTTTTCACATATGGAAACCCTGTGAAATCGGGAGCTGACTGTTGGGTTGTTTCATGGTCTGAGCATGTGGCCCCTGTGGCCACCACGCTCAAAGGCCACAGGCAACAACTCTCCCTCTGTAGCAGCCAGTGATCTAAATAGTGTTGTCCACAGAAATGAAGTGATTCCAGAGTTCTTTCCTCCTGGACTCTTGACTAACAAGGTCACAGTGTTTTGTGCATTTACAGTGACTGTTGTAGTGACTGACAGCAGTCCAGCCGTTGGTAACAGTTTTAAAATGGTGTTTGGGGGACTTTTTAAAGATTAAGCAAGTAGAGTGATGTAATTCCGTTATAGTACAGAACAAGGACTTGTCATGTGATGGTATTCACTTCACTAGAGTGCTGAATGGCCAGGTTAAAGGTCATCTTCCAATTTTATTGTTTTCAGTGTTAAAGTCTTTCTGAGATCAAAATCATCTATTGCTGGAATTCCTCAGGAAAGAACTTTCTGCTTCTGTATCTAATATTTTCAGAATTAAGATTTAACCTGTGCACTGATAACAAAAATGAGTCACCCTGTGTCACAGCCTAATAGCACAGTGAGCAATGCCATGACAGAGGAAACCAGTTACTGTCTAGGGCAGGGTTCTGCTTGACTGACAGGGGAGCTCATGCCAGCAGTGCTTGGTGACACACCCATGTAATTCTGTCTTCCAGCATTCCAGTGTGTCCGACTACTCTCCATCTGATGGGTACGCGTTCAATAGCAGCATGTACAACAGAGGGCCACATCTGGACCAAGGGGAGGCCGCCGTGGCTTTCAAGTCAACTCCTAATCGCCATGTAGATAGGTAACACTCAGCACATGCCATGGGGAGCTCTGTGGGTAGCTATGGGTGACTTAGGCTAATAGGGTTGGAGGCAGGGGGTGGGATGGGTAGGGATGGGAGGGTAGGGACAGGTGGGGTAGGTGCGGGCTTTGCTGGTTATTTCTTTAAATGGTTTTGTCTCTTAATGATTTGATAAGGTTTCCATAGTTCCTTATAGAACTGGCTTTGATGCGCAGGAGAGAGTCAGGACCTCTAGTCTGTGATTCTCAGTGCAAATCCCACTGGGTGACTTTTGCTGTGTTAGAAGATACTTCTGACTGTGATCTGTGTAGTAAGAGGCAAGAATTATCTTTAAAGCACTGGTTGTTCCTCTAGTTTCCACCAGATAGTCTCCAAAGAGCTTTCCCAGGTGGAGAACATGGCTCAGTGAGTAAAGTCCTTGATGCACAAGGAGGAAGGCCCAAGTTCTGACACCCAGAACTAACATAAACTGGACATATTAGCATATGTCTGTAAGCCCAGAGCTCTGTCAGTGAGACAGGAGGTGGAGACAGGAGGATTCCCTGAAGCCAGAAGGCCAGCTAGCCTTGTATGCAGCCTGGGGCAAGAGGCCCTGCCTCAAACAAGTGGAAGGTGACAGCTTACCTCACACATGCCATGGCCAGCACTCACCTGAACTCACTCCCCTACAATGAGTTTTTTCAAAGAGTTTCCAGCTCAGCTCTGCATCTACCAAAAACTAAAAACAAAATCCAAAACCTAAAAATCCCCTCCTGTAGATGGAATATTAGACTCACCAGAATAAACCAGGTATGATAGCATATGCTTGTTATCCCAGCACTTGTGTTGGCTGAGGTGTGAGGATGGTGAGTTCAAGGCCAGGTTTGACTATATAGTATGCTCTGGGCTAGCCTGGTCTACAGTGTGAGCCTCTATTTCTGTCTCATTCCCTCTCTCTGCCTCTCCCTCTCCCTCCCTCCCTCCCTACCCCTCTCTATCCCCCTCTCCTGCTCTCTCTGTCTCTCTCTCTCTGTCTCTCTCTCTCTCTGTCCCCCTCCCCTCCCCTCCCCTCTGTGTGTGTGTGTGTGTACTTACACTGGATATAATTAACTGTTTAAATTGAGCCCATGCCTTTCCGTCTTTACTGTCTTCTTGTATTTTTATTTCGTAAAGACTTGATTTAGCGAAACATGAAGAATTGGAAATCTAGAAGAAATAAAAGAACTCCATGAAGTTCCCATTTTTACAAAAATGTGGTTTTCCAGCAGTTGAGGTTACATAAACACCAGCCTAAACCAGAAGATATTGGTATCAGGGACATAGAGGGATGCACATTCACTTAATTGGTGGAGTGTCCCGGCATTCCACTCTCTATATGGAGTTGTTTTTTCAATTTATTATTTTCCTGTAGAGTCTGAGAGCTGGGAATGTTGCTCAGGTCATCCGTTGCTTGCCCAGCATGCATAAGGTCCTGGGTTCGATCCTCAGCACCACAGAAAACCATGACAGTGGCACACACCTGTAATTCAATCACTTGCAGGGTCAGAAGTTCAAGGCCACCTTAGCTAGTACCAGGCTAGCCTGGGTGCATGATGGATAGCCTGTCTCAAAAGCAGGTGGGTGTTGCTTGGTTAAGGATGACAGCAGGCAATCCATGGAAACTACAGGTGTTATTCAGGGCACCAGTAACATGTTAAATTGAGTTCAAAGAAAAGTCAGCAATGAATAATGAATTTTGGAAATGCCAACCTATAAGTTTTAATTATTTGAAAAGTGGTTAGTGAATGGGGGGATGGCTCAGTGGATAAAGCACTTTTTGGATTCTTAGAACCCATAAAAAAGTTGGGCAGACATGGAGGCCCGTTCTACTTCTAGCGTCTGGGAGACAGACACGGAATCCCCAGGGCTAGTGAGCCACACCAGCCAGAACTGATGCACTCTGGGTTCAGGGAGAGACCCTTCCTCAATGTGGAAAGTGGGAAGTGATAGAGGAGGACACTGGATATCAATTTTGGGTCTCCAGAAGCATGTCCACACATGTATGTAGCCTTACATATACACATGCATTGTGTGGTCTGTCAGTCACTAGGTAAATACAAATTTGGTGGACTGAATGACCAAATGGTTGTGTCCAACATTTCAGTCTTTATCTGCCTGCAAGGTCACCTGACTCTGGAAGGTACAGGATGACTCATTACCCATGGCTTAGCCTCTACTGTGGTAGTGTGCTTCGGAATCTGTAAAAGCTCACCTTGTTCTGTATGATCTTTATAGGATCTTAGGGAACTATGTCTTTGATTTATTCTTTCAACCATATCTTTCAGAATTGACTTAGGAAGTTAAAGTAATGCTGTAACTGTAATGAAATAAAATGTAAATTTAGAAATCTAGAACAAATAAGAATTTTATGAACTTCAAGGATTAACATTATGATTGCATTTCTGATTTGTCTTTGAGAATGTCCAAGTTCAAGGCTGGTCTGGGATATATGATGAATCCCAGACCAGCCATAGTTTCTTAGCAATACCTGATCTCAAAAGCAAAACCAAAAACATAACAAACTACAGAAGATGTAGAGGCAACAGTAACCTCGGGGCTTCTCTGTCTAACCAGCTGCACCTGCTCACAGTAGATCAGTCTCTGAAAGGTAAAAATCAATTATGTTATGGCATGATGATCTGACTGAATAACTGATATACTTCACATAGCACCTACTGCATTTCTTGCACGTAAAAACAATTGCATTTAATCATAATCACAAAAGTAAATTCGAGACCCTTGAGTGAATCACATCAGATCTGATGGCTTTTGCAATAATGACACATTTTCTTTGCAATATAAAAAATCAGTGATCCCAGCCACTGGGATCTGTCAGCTCAGTTGCTGACTGTCTATAGATTCTTTACCTGGTCCATTGTGAGCTGTCCTTGTATGCATTGTCATGGCTGGCTAAAGCTTTTTAACATACGAATTCAGATAGATGCACACACTCAGTTGCAGGAAGTTTTCTATTTTTTCTTACAATACAATCCATCCCCTCTTATTTGTGGTGGTTCTTTTGCAAATTATAGAAGGGAGAAATAGAAAGAAAAAGAACTGAAATTACTATTTTCCTAACTTTTTGGATAGGTGTATCTCTTTATTCCCCAATTTTCTCATATATGTTAGAATATATCTAATCTTAATATAATATAAATATATGTTATATATAAAATGTATATTATATAGAGTCGCTTATCTATATAATATATACATTGTTGTGTATTTGTATAATGTATAAATTACATATAATATAAATATGTAAGTTATATATAATATAAATACATGTTAGTAATCTTAACATAAATATATAAGTTATAAATATATATGTGTCAAAACTATCACAGTAGAGGTGCTGTTTAAGATGAGGCATCATACTGTAGTACAGGGTGGTGTAGTATTCAGCAAAACGAAGTGTATAATGCATAATAATTAGTGGCAGAAGTTCACTTTTTGTTTTAATATGTGGGAGATTGCTGGTTGTTGCACAGCTCACAGGCATCCTTTGCTCTGGCCGCCATGTCTGGTGGAATGAGAGTCTGAGAGGCAGAGTAGATCTGGGATGCAGGGTTACCCTGGCTCTACAGACCTGGCCTCTGAGGGCCCAGGTATGACTCAGCATGCCAGAAAACCGGGATGGATGGCCATCTTTGGCCTCAGTCTGTTGACTTCTTCATAGCGTTTGTGAGGAAATGTAGAGATGTGATTGGAGGAGATAAAGAAATAAAATCTTTCAGACTCAGCATTATTGTTTTATTGTTGAAACATTATGTCAGATATGAAGGAAATAAGAATACTATTTAATGCATGAACTTTTATTGTAAATGTAAAAAAGTAACATTAAAAACATTGTTAAATCTGTTAATCCCAAATTATTACAAGTAGTATTTGGTTTTCAAAGAACACATCCTTTTAAAAAATTGGGCCCCTTGATCAGTTATTATAATTTAAAAACCTTATAGTGAATTAAAATTGTGCTTTCTCCTTTGCTTGAGAAGGTTGCTGGCTGTATCCTTGAGGGATCCCTTCTCTTGCACTTTTAGTAACGGAGCAAAGGTTCCTTTAAAACGATCCCTATACATAAGTGTGTTTAGTTGGTTATGAAATGTTGCTTGAGTAAGTGAAGTTGTGCTATGGGCATTGTCTTCAGTCTCTTTTAATTTCACACTTATATTCTGGCCTTTCATGGTACGTATGCTGATCATTGTCACTCTGGCATGAGCATTTTCCCATTCTTTCCGAGATGGGATCTCACATAGTCTAGGCTGGCCTACAACTTGATGTGTAGTCCCAGATGACATTGAATTCCTGAAGCTCTTGCCCCATCCTCTCACATGCTGGCATTCTAGGCATATAACACCATGTCTGACCTTAACATGTGGGTTTAGTACATAGCTCACGGGTTTAGAGTCTAGATTTGGCTCAGTACCAACTAGCCTTGGAATTTTGCATCATTTTATTTTGTCTGAGCAATAGTTTGTTCTAAAAAACAAAAAACCAAACAAAAAACAAGAAGCAAAAAACAAAAAATTATTTATTTATGTGTGCATGCCCATCCCTCCCAACCTCATATATGTGCCAGCTGGAGGCCAGAAGCAGATATCAGATCCCTGAAGCTGGAGTTACAGGTGGTTGTTAGCCCCCAGTGTGGGTGCTGTGAATGGAACTCGAGCCTCCTGCAAAAGCTGTGCCCTCCTTTAGCTGAGCCGTCCCTCCAGCCCCAGTTCGCTCTTTTTTAATAGGAAGAACCCCGTGGTTCCTTTTAATTCTCGTACTTTGAAAGGGTTGGACTGGCCCTCATGTTTACTTCTGCTCTCAGGCTTTAGAAACACTAGTAGAATGACAGAGTTCTTCCTTTCTTTTTATAGAAGTTATGACTCAGTCAAAACACAAACCAAGAAATACGCCAAATCCAAGTATGACTTCGTGGCGAGGAACAGCAGTGAGCTCTCAGTTCTGAAAGATGACGTCTTAGAGGTACTTGATTTTCACCCTCTTATCCCTCTAAGAAAGTAAATGTGCTGTGTTCTTCTAATATGTCTCTGAACCTTCTGAAGAGAAACTGAGACCACGAGATTGTCTCTTGTACACGGCACATCCTGGGCATCTGTATCTCTTCAGAAGTGCTAGCTACTTCGTTTGTCTGGCCTTCTAATGGTGCCGTGCATTCAAGAGAGACACAGCACTGGGGAAGAGGGAAGCGGATTTCTAGGCTTGCCTTGTTGTCCCTCCTTTCTTTGGGGTTCGTTCATTTTGGAACCAAGGCTAAGTCTAAATTCAGTGGAGAGGAATCATGACAGTTTAATCAAAGAGAACATTTCCTCTTTCTCTGAGGATTCTTGTATAAATGTCACCAGCACTCCATTTGGTAATCACATTAAGGGCAGTGTTTCTGAGGTTTTACTTTGGAGTACATTTCCTAATATATACAAAGCATTTTGTTAAAAATAGTTTTCATATTTTTCCTTTCTATTCCATGAATGGAAACAATAGAACTTTCCAGAATGGCCATCTTATTGCCCTTTGAGTACCTCAAATGATGCAGGTACATTCTGGGGACCAAGTACATATTCGGCTTACATTTGTCACAGTACCTGTTTTCCGCGAATATCAATAATTGTAAATCTTCATGTAATTCCTAAGAATTTCAGCCTTATAAGTTCATACTCAGTCCTTTATCAGAAGTAAAAAGAATTTTCTTGATTAAAATTGAGAAGTAGATTTGAGCTTTGCCCGGGAGTGGGTTTTCTTACTGGAATTGCGCTTCTGTTCCTTGCATAATGACAGATACTGGATGACAGGAAACAGTGGTGGAAAGTCCGGAACGCCAGTGGAGACTCTGGGTTTGTGCCAAATAACATTCTGGATATCGTGAGACCCCCGGAGTCTGGAGTGGGGCGTGCTGATCCACCATACACACATACCATACAGGTAACGTGGGTTCTGGGCAAAAGTTAATATTTACAGATATGCAGGAAGAGTAATTAAGTGACTTTTGTATATTAATCACTTTGAGCTTGAATTGGTTATATTTTTGAGAGCAACTGAAGAAGAATGTGGAGAGACAGTAGAAAATTATACATGTTTTCTGAGGAATCTGTTAAACATCCAGCAATAAGTTACTGCTTCTCTGAATGCGTTTTTATATCAATTTGTAGTATTTCTGACAAAATAATTTTTTATCTTTGCCCACTGATGTGGCCATAAGACTGGTTGGAGGGTAGAACTCCATCTTTTACAGCCTTTACCTTCCGAGTCTATTAAATGTTCAGTCTCTGACCAGCCTGCAATTCACATTCAGCATGCCTTAGCACATGTATGAACATATGTCCTGGTGTTAGTGTTTTTCCTTCCTTTACATTAAGGTTAACTGTGTCTATGTTGAGGATGAGGTAAGGCAGGCTCTTCCCAGGGATCACTGAAGCCTTCCCGAAGCTCACCCACACCACCGGTTCAGGATATTGGTTGCCTGGTCAGTTTATCCATTTTGGCAGCTCTACTCACTTGAGGTGGCTCACTGGAGTGAGATCCTGTAACAGAGTTAGAAATCATGGACTCCATGCACAACCTCGGAACCCTAGTGGCTTCTTCCCATGCCTTAGGGAAGGAGTCTTTTAATTTTCAATCTTGAGACAAACACTGTGACTGGCTCCATTTTTACTATGATTTCATTAGCTCACTGATTTGTGGAGCAGCTTCATGGGATATGCTGTAAAGCAGCTCATTGTTGGTCAGGTCTAGGCTTGAAGAGCACAAAGTGTGCAGGCCTTGAGTAGAGTTCATTCTCCTGGCTGCCACACTGAGTTCTCCAAGCACTTGGAACGCCTTGTGACACTCAAGGCTTCAGTAGATCCTTGCTCCTTCCCAGAGGAATTTGACCTTATTACACTAAGCCACGAGCCAAGCAAACCCTTGATGTAAAGAATTCTATCCTTCAATGTGGAGACACATACCCATTTCCCAGAACTTGGGGAGCAGAGGCAGGATCATCACGAATTCAATGTTATCTTGTGCTAAGTAAGGCATAGTAAGACTGCCTCAAAAAAGAAAAAGACAAACATTGGTGTTTTCTACAACCAGTCATGGTGTAAGGCGATGGCAGTAGAGGTCTGTTTCCTGTGCTTGGGGTTTTGTTTTGTTTTGTTTTCCTGCCCTGACGTGACATATGTACTTACTTATGCCAATCATTTATCATTAGCTTTTGATGCCAAAGAAGGAATTTGAATTATTCAAGGTATGGTCTGCTGTGCTTCCCATGGATTTTTGCAGTGAATTTTCTAACTTAATTTTCCATACCACTTCCTTTCTGTAAGTTCCTCCTTTCCTAAGTATGAGCTGTGGTCAACTGGCATGATGAAAGGCCTCTCTCCAGAGGATGAATGTCAAGCCTCTGCTCTCTTTGCTGAAAGTTTTCTGATCTTATCCTTAACAGTGATGCCATATATGCTTGAAATGTGTGTCTGAAACCATGAAGGGGAATATTTGCCCTTTGAGAAGTCAGGATTTTTAAACATTCTAACTAATGACAAAGAGTAGCATGTACTATTTATAAAGGATATCCTTAGGCCACATGGGCAAACAGATCCAAGAGTGTCTAAGTTTACATATTAAAAACAATTACTCAAACTGAATTTTGCTTATGTGCATGATTCCTAGGAACAGATAAACTGCAAATAATGTAACTTAATTAAACTGGCAAGTAATGTGTGTTCTGTGTGGGTGCCCCACTTGAAACTCCCTAACAAGGAGTCTGACTTCCGTTCTTGACCAGCTTGCTATTTGGTCTTGCCTTTTCCTTCAGCTTGACTCCTGGCCCGAACTGTGTTGACTTTCCTGTTCCAAGCTTGCCTCTGGCTAAAATGAACCCAAATGATTAATACACACCACAGGCAAAAATAGTCCTTGAGAGAACACAACACCCATTCTCCCTGATTCTGTTCTTTCACAGAACCTCATCTCATGTTTATGTCAACTTTGTCACAATTAAGAGTTTGTTTTTTAAGTATTCACAAGTTCCAGGAGTCTCTGCTGAAACTTTGTGTAAACAGAGATTTGTGGTCACCGAGGAGGACTGCATGTTTTGGCTGTTCCCACAGTCTCACTGTAGAAATGTGTGTGGAAGAGCACTTGTGGTGTGTGCTCCCCCTCTTCTCCCTCCTCTTCCTTCTGCCTCTCCCCCCCACACACCTCTCCATATGCACAGAGTTTAGGGTGCGTGCCTACCTTTGAAAGGTATTATAAACTCTCTACCCCTTTAACACCTGGAAACTCTGGGGTGAAATCATAATAAATAGGCTCCCTACCTGCTGTGACACCCCTGTGTCCTTACCTGCCCGCCATGACACCTACCTACATGCTGTGACACCCCTGTGTCCTTACCTGCCTGTCGTGACACCTACCTACCTGCTGTGACACCCCTGCTTCTCTCAAAGGATTCCTGTTCTTAATGAACTGGTAATAGTTCTGAAAAGGAGGAGTAGCATGGGAAAGAAAAACCTTCAGAGACATATCCCAGCCAACCATCTGTCTCTATGACAGCATCACAGACACCTTTAGCTGTCTCAAACAGAGGCATCTGAGAAAAATGAGCAGTTCACTTCAGAATGATGTTGGTGGAGTCCAGGGATGCTTTCGAGTTCCCATCTTACTCTCTTTGCCATGTAGGCCTCATGTATTGTTCAGTGCCGGCATCCTGATCCGGTGGGAAGAGTGATAGAAAGGCTCGCACTCAGTGGCTTCTTTGCAGAAGCTGGCAGCACGCCTGTCTCCGGGTCACCTGTTGCTTGGCCCTGTCCTTGGTGCAGCTGTCCGAAGAGCAGTGACTTCCATCCTCTCCATACAGATCTCTCTCGCCCTTCCACCCAGTGATATCACAACTTTGAAGTAAAGCAAGATTTGGTGGCTCATAACCATCATCACTACACCTGGGAGGATGAAGCAGGAGGAGTTTGAGACCAGTCTATACTACCAAATGAGTTCTGGGCCAGCCTGGGCTACACTGTAGAGGTTTCTGTGCTGTGCCACAGCATGATAGCTGCTGAGTGGTCAGCAGAGCCAGCTTCATAGTGACAGTGAAGCAGACGAAGCCAGTAGGCAGTGCCATTCCGAGCCCAGAATTCTGTAAGCTCCCACCCATCAATCTCCCTGAGGTCCCACAGCAACCTGATGAAGTAGGCACATTGCCACAGGGCAGACTTGGGCACAGGAGGAACACGCGGCTCAGAGCTACACAGCAGCGTGAAGCCAGGCCTGGGACCCGGCCATGTGGATCCAGAGCCAGTGCTCTGATACACTCTTGTTATTCCAGGGAGGGTTCAGGAAATGTCGCCAGCTCGTCATTTAAGCAGGGTTCTGTTATGTGAGTACGCAAAGGGATACGATCTCTGAACACGTCTCCCATGCACTGTATCTTGAGGACAGTCGCGAATGACTGGCCATCATTCTTAGAATGGATTTTTTCCCCCTAATGAATCCACTTCTTGCATTTTATATGTCCTTTCATGTTTTTAATGCTTTGGGGGAAACTGTGCATACTGGCAAAGTGGGCATTCTGTGAGTGGCCAGAAACAGGAATTGGATGTGAACTGCTTCTGTACAGCCTCTCTGACTCACTGGGTGTTTTTACAAGGGACACGGTTGTGCTGCTCACTTTCATCCCATCCCCTTTCTGGTCCTGAAGGATTCTGGGGGAGCAGTTCCTAGGAAACCCAAGGACAGCATTATCTGTTGTCGCAAACCCAGTTGTCTGGGATTCTGTTCTGACAGCAGCTGTCCTCACACCTGGAGCAGCAGGGACTAGGGCCTGACTTGTCACCTGAAGTCCCCATCCCCAGGGAGTCGAGGTTATTTAATAATCCTCACATTCGGAGTGAGTTTTAACAGCTCGCTAAAGGCAGATTCCTCCCCATGGCTTTGGCAGCATTTTAAAAGTTAAAGAGGAAGAGATGTGATAGAGAATTTACAGAAGTGTGTGTGTGTGTGTGTGTGTGTGTGTGTGTGTGTGTGTGTGTGTGTGTGTGTTTCAGTGAAGCCACAGGAGAGAGCTGTAAATGCCTTTTGAAGGACACAGAAAAGTGGCTTGTCTTTCCATTAAAATGCAGAACCCCCAGGGCTTCACAGTCTCCTATCTGGGCCACTGATGGCCCCCAGGTGCTTTCTGTTCTCCCGGAATCTACTGCCATGGAAAGTTTGTTGATATTTCTTACTTGATTCTCAGGCTAGCACTGGCCCTCCCCTGGATAGACTGTTTCCCATGGGTCCCCTGCTGTGCGAGGAGCAGCACTGACTTCCTCCCCTGATCTTATTTCTAAGACCACCACAGCTGGGCTAAAGAATCTTCTGTATGTTGTTAAATGCTGAGTTTGTATGTTTATTGTGTCTATAGTTTTTCCTACTCCACCAGGGGTGGGGGCATCAAATAATGGGCTCTGTCCAACCGCTGCCAGGTCTTGTGAACCCCCCCGCCCTTTCTCTCTGTCTCTTGGCTATTACGGAATCCTGAGGACCGCCCTCCCTGCTGCTGTTTGGTGAGGACTCTGGCCTCGGTTCTGTCACTAGCTGTGTGCCCTCAGAGAAAGAATTTTATGTTCTCAGTTGCCATGTGCTTGGCTATGAGCTAGAAGTCTGGCTACGTGTCAGCGAATTCTCTTATCCTCTAGGTACATGTGTAAAGAGCCCGAAACCGAGAGTGGGACTGTTTCCTAGAGGTGACTATTAAACCACCAACAGTGTCGATTGTAGCCCATCTCATCCATGCCTCGTTTAAACTCTATCCAGATGTTGATACTGCTGAACAGAAAATGGCCATCTCGCTAACATCACCTTTATAGTCTTCAGCCAGGCCAGCTTCCTTAAAACACATAGTGCTTGAAAGTTGTTGTGAATTATTTACGGAGGTCCATCAGGGATCATTAGTTAGAGGCAGGGTTCTTAAACAAGAATGGCTATCATTTTTATTTAATAAGCACATTTTTTGTGTGTGCATACTTATGTATACATACATATATGTTCATACATGCATGCATATACACACAATGTTAAAAGTACATACACAGGAAATAAAAGTAAAATTATCACAAAAGTAGTAGAATGAACATATCATTTCACACAGCAACTAACTCTCCCTGGAGCAGCCATAGCTGACTCATTTAACAAACCTGATTCTGATGCACCGTTATCAAGTATGACCCTCGTCTCTTCACACTCCACATCTGCTACTTCCTCTCCTAGGGACCCCCGCCCCCGTTTTCTGTGCCCACCACCCCATTCCTGGTAAACACAACTTCTCTATGTTTGTATGTTTGACTCTAAGTGTATTCTTTATTCTGTGAATAAAATGAACCTGTATCATGTTCTCTTCACATAACGCTTTAATGCTCCAAGAGTTGTTTCTGAGGTATTCTGACTCCATGCTGCTGTTTACTCTGCATGTTGAGCTGGAAGATGAGTAAAGAGGTGTGGGAATTAATTATGTATTTACAAACTCCTTTGCCGGCTGACTTGTGGGTAGGTAATTTTGCTGTCAAAAAAAACAGTTTGTTCATGTTTTCTGTTATTTGAATATAAATTATAATTGATATTCTTTCAATGCCATCTCCTGTGTTAATTTTCTCATTTAATGCGATTTGCTCCATCTCCTAATAGCAATTACTGGGCGAGCTGTCAGAGGTAACTCATATCCGTTCCCTCCTGGCAATTCTTCTTCCTATCCTTTTTTTGGATTTGGTTTCTGGACTTAACACCCTCCAAATATTCCAGCTGTGCTGTTTTCATTGCAGAACTTCAGGGAGGCCAAATTTAAAGGGAAAAAGGTACAATTCAGTGTAGACAAAGTTTTAAGAACCGCTCTCTGCCAGCGCCTGGCTTGGGTTTTGCTTGCATAATCTCCTCTCTGAAGTAGGACTTTGCATGAATCACTAGTCACTTTAATGCCCGAGAATTTTCACTCAGTTTTGGTTACTAACGAAAAGTGACTCACCCCAACTTAGTTGTCAGTAGAAGAGTACATTTCTTATGAGGCAGAGCCATTCTGACTTCCTTCAGAGAAACACACAGGGATGCTTTGTTTGCTGCCGAGCTTGGCATCCGTGAGAGATGATGGATGGGACTCAGGAAGTGACAGTGGTATACAGAAGCAGGTCCATTCCAGGTGACGCAGCTGCCATAAACTGAGAGGTTTGTGGAATGTGAGACCTCAGTGGTGATCCCTGGGAAAGGCCCAGACCAAGGTTCCTCACAGAATTGGAGCCCCAGCCTCCTCAGGGCAGGAATAAAAAAGGTCCAAATGAGCTATGCCCAAGAAAGTCTTCCATGACCTGAGGTATGCTGGGAGTCACTTGGTCCGTGCCTCCAAACAAGAAGAGCCAAGCGCAGGGACATGAAGGAAGAACAGGCATTGGGCAGTAGGTAGAGAGGATCGGAGATCATGGGAGGGGCTCAGAACAGAGGTTCCAGACATCAGTACTGACTCAGTGACTTCAGAGTGAGTCACACTGATTTGTGGGTCTGGCCCTCTTTCCCTTTTCAAGTCAGAGGTTGAAGGCATGAGGCAGGCAGAAAAGACTGGGTGGAGAAGGAAATATGCAAGTAAATATAACTCTGGCATAAATCATGAAAAATGTCTTTCTGTGGCTTTGGGAACTTCATTGGGGTTTCAGTTTTTGACCTATTGTTGAGTGAGGTCTGTTGGTGCCGTTGCCTTGTGCAACAGGAGCGGGTGATGAACTGAGACCCAAATGCTTGGTGAGCCCGCCTCTGGGCTTCACCCTGACACGGTCGCAGTGGCTTGAGCGTCTCGCAGAATTACTCCACAGGTAGAAAACACGAGCTCTTCCTGTTTTTATGGAAGCAGAAAAAAAAAAATCATACTGTGGCACTGAGACCTTGTAGCTTTGCTTGTTTGTTTATTTTTGGCATAAGCTTTAAAAACAATCATTTAAATTCTGAACACTTTTGAAACATTGACATGATTTTATTAAACTATTAAAGGACACACTTGTCTATGGAATAAAACATATATATTAAGTGGCTTTGGTGTGTGCTAAGTAGTACTTTTGGTGATGTTTGCTATGTTCTGATTGCTTTAGATATTTTTTGGCCCAAATATAAGAGAAATATCTTGTGGGGTTTATAATAATACAGCAATGATTTCTGGCTTTATTACTGAATATATTAGAAGGGTCTCTAGGACCAGGTACTGGGAGGACCGAAATCTGTTCCTCTCATGCGGAACTTTGTGGCCATTGCTTGTTCACCTCTGGCTCTTCCTCCTCCTCTGGCACACTGCTTTGCTCCTCTCAGCAGCTAGTCCTCTCTCAGCTGCGCCCTCCCCTGCATGTTACCCCTGCCACCCTTACCATCGGCTGGTGAGTGAGTCAGAGCCCTCCAGAAACAAAGGCCAAGGGTCCCTTCCCACAAGCTGTCCACAGGTATTAAGTTCTCTTCCTGTGAAGGCACCTTGATGGTCAGTGTGTTGTTTTGTGAGTGACAATTTAAAGTAATGTGTGGTGTGTGTATTTTATGGTTTTGATCTCTGGAAATCTGGAAGGACTCGCTTAAAAATCAAGGTTGCCTTATATTTGGGCCAATTTAGAAGTGAAAAGTAAATACTGTCTTAACGCAAGACCCAGACTTCCAAAAGGTTTTCTCTTGGATGGTATCCACTAACCTTAAATTTTAATTGGAACGATGATGGTTCAGTATTTAAACTTCACTTCAATCATAGCTTTGCATCTTTGATTCTGCAAAGATGCGCCTTTTGAGAACTCAGAGTCTTCTACATGTAGTTATCTGTTAGATTATTTTATCTGTATCTAAAGCTTTGGATATTGTGTTTAATAAGAAATATACACAAATATTGTTTGATCATAGCCCAATTGTATAGTTTATCACATCTTCCTTTTAAACTATAAATCCCCACCCGTGCCTTCCCCCTCCCCCATCTCTCCTACCCTCTTTCCCCTTCTTTTCTTTTTTGTGGGCCCAAGGGCGGAAACAGCACCTTCTGCATGTTGGGCAAATGCTCTACCATGGGTCTCTGTCCCCACCCCGAAGGACTGTTTGTCCTTCATCCTTAAAACCATGCACGCTATGTCTTCCCATTTTTAACAAGGAAAATTTCTAGCGTGAGTGAGTTAGCAAGAACAGAGAAGGGCTGCGCCATGAGAGTTAGGAACAGCGGTCTAACCTTCCCTATTCCAGAGCACAGCTCCTGTATTCGCTAAGTCAACACAGCGCTCCTTTAAAAACTCCTGTAAGCGGCAGAATTAAAGCCCTCTGGCTGAAGTGGCGCTGAACGTTTTTGACTTTCAACTCCGTTGAAGTTATTCTTCATTTAAATTGTAAAATCATCAGAGTGTTTTTAATCCACCCTAGTCTTCTGTAAGTTCAAGCCCAAACTTAGTTTTCTTGTCCTGTAATATTATGGTATATTTGCTCTTGGTTTGAGCTTGTCATTCTTTAGCTCACATGCTGACTTTGAACAAATATGTAGAGTACTTCAGAGATGGTTTTAATAACTGTGATGTCATACTGGATGAAAAGTGTACATACATGTGCCTGCATTCATAAGGAGTGCCACGGGTCACTTTACAAATAAATATCCAATGATGTCCTGTCAATTTTTGTACCGC